AATTTTGTCTTTGTGAAAATAAATAATTTTGTGTATTTGGACGAGAAGGTTTAAATATGTGTGGTCTATTTACATAGTTATAATTGTGTTCTGCAAAGTTGTTCCTAGAGAAGGTTCTTTGTTTTTTGTATTGGTTTCGTCAATGGTCTAAATGTTTGATAGTTCACATGTGGGTATTTTGGGACAACGGTGGGTTTAACCGTAGATTGTAATGTTACCTGTGGTAAGGTTGGATTTTTAGGTCTTGGAGTTGTAAGATTTGGATGTATTGGTGAAACGCTTTGTTGTGTGGTTGTTATTACTGTTGTAACTACCTCTTCATTTGTGAAATGTGATGGTGTTTGAATATCTTGTTGTGTGAGGTTCCTAGTTCCGTTCAAGTTTTCTTGTTGTATGAGAGTTGAGTTTAAACTATTATTTCCTGTTCTATCGGGTAGAAATGATTTATAGTTTAAAGGTGTTGCATCAGTTGAGAGTGGATATACCTTATTATAATTCTCGTTGATGGAAATGGTGCTAATTGCTTGACTTGAAATATCTGTTGGTATGTCGAAGAACAGTGGAAGAGACCAATCAGGGTCCCATACATAAACTGATTGTTCTGCTAATACTCTGTCATCAGCTGAATTTTAGAGTCTGAAATTCTTTTTTGCTTAAGAGATTAAATCAAGATTATTGGTGAAATAATCAATGATAAACCATGCCAAGATTTTTTTAAAGTCGTGTTTGACGTTTTGTGAAACGTCGTTACTAGTTAAATTTTCACGGATTGTATTTAAAAATTCAGAAAATATTGCGATTTCATGTCTTACAGTTGTATGTTTTGATGTTTGAACTGGTGAAGTTCCTTGGGATTCTGGTATTTCTAATATAGATAGATAGCTATAAATTATTTGAAATATTTCAATAGTAGGTAATGAATATGCTCTTTGTGAATTTTGGTTTTGTATATTTTTTTTTTATTCTGTGAATACTTTTGAAAATTCTATATCTACGTCGTCTGTTTGGAGTAGATATCTACCATGAAATCTACTTGGTGTCTGTATTTCTATGGTATAGATTCCGTACTGTTGTAATAGATTACATATTCCTTTGAGGTAGTGGTCGATAATTTGTCTTTTGATCTTTACTTCTGGAAATTTTAATGTGCATGGACTAACTCCTCTTTCAAATAAATTTGCGATAACGTTTTGACAAAATTGTGTTTGTCCTCTATCATCAGTGAGTGAATTAATTAAAAATGGGAAGATGGAGTTTTCATCTTTGCTTTCTTCATTTTGACCCAATTTTGTGCTTTATAACTGTTAATTTATAGTTTTCAATGTGTTTTATTGGTTGATTCCAATTGTATAGATGTACTGGTTTGTTTTTGTATGTCTCTTTTATTCTTCGTTTTCCTTGTATTGATGATTGTGATGTGGTTTCTGAGTCAGAAAAATATAACGTATCATTAACTTGGTAGTTTTCATTTACGGAGTATTTTAGTGTGTAGAAATCTTCTAAATTACTTGTTTCCGATTCGGAGAATGCGTTTCTTTGTTTTGAAAATCTTCTTCGTGTAATCTGTCTTTGTTTGCTTAAAATTTTTCTTGTGATTGTTTGTCGTTTTGTTCTTATGTATCCTTATGACTGTCTGTGTGGAGTGATTACGAGACCATATTTTCGTTGTTTATTTCACAATTGTGTATGATGATTGTTTGTTTATTTCCTAAATTGTCTAGTGACATAAAGTTTAGGATGACGGATGCAATATTTGGATTAGTGATTTTTAATGCTTAAACTGTTAGTTCTTGCAATTTTTTTGGGTTAGCCTAACTTGTGTCATATGCTTCAGGGTTGGAGAGAAGGTATATATCAATTCCTGAGAAAGATTGTTATTTTCTCGTGACTAGTGTAAGTTAAGGTGTTAACTTACTTAATCTTACTTAGGGGTAGTGATTGTGTTCAAGGGTTGGAGAATAGTAAATCGATCCACACGGTTCAGGTATAATTAGAACTTAAGTAGCTCGTTAAATACTATTTTAAACTTATTAGGTTTAAGTATTATCCTGGGTCAGGTAAGAGGGGGGTGGGGTCAAGTGAAGGATTAATAACCGAAGTTCTTCACTGTTTATCCTGATGAGAATGGTTAGTGTGATTGAAAAATTTCTATTAGTCTTGGGCCTTGGGAAAAGGTTGGATAAAGAATCGACGTTTCAGGTCGTTAGACACTTTGTTAAATGTGTGGGGGAGAACAAAATTGTTCTTTTTGATCCAAGGATAAGCCTTGATGATCAGAATATAAAAGAAAGGAAATTAAATTTAATTTAGAAAAAAGTGAATAAAAGATCCAAGGAAAGCCTTGATGATCTATTAAGTTTAAAGGGTTAAATTTAAAATAATAATAGGAAATAGGTTTTAAATGAAAATTTAATTTATAAAAAATTTTAGTTTGTTAGTTTTTAATGATGTTAGTAGATTTATGATTTGCTGTTATGTTTTATGTGGTGATAAAACTGAGATGAAGAGATTATTTATATATTACTAACAATTAATGTATTTACTAACTAATTTTTATTTTCTATTTTTAATAAACATTTTTTCTAGATATCTTTTTAAATTTACTGCAGATTAAAGGAAACGACTAGGGATGTTTTTATCAGTCGTTATTGTATAATAATAGTTTTAGCGCCTATAATTATTGGTGAAGATTTTTCATCAAGGATACTATGTTTGCAAATGAAAATCTAAATTCATTGCTAATGAAACTCTAAATATAAAAATTTGTGTTGGCGGTTGCCGTGCGACTAAGAAACTTATGGATAAGTTCCGTTGTAGTCGTATATCGTTTCTTGTCCGAGGTCGTTTTCCAATAGAGACATTTCAATTAAATTATTATCGTGTAACATTTTTGAGAATGTTTGTCTAAGTCTAATCTATTTTTGGTTAGTTCTAAGCTATTTTATTCCTTAAGGTCTTAATCGAGACTTATGGTCGCACCAGATGAGTTGAGACTTAGGTCTAACTCATAGAGTAATTTCAGATAGGGTACACCGTCTGCTCGTCACGCTATCTTATTTTCGGCCTGATAGATTCGTGCAACTTCTTAGTCTAATACCGATCTTAATCTTATTCTTATATCTCTTAGTCTCAATAGATCTAGAGTATACTGGTTTTGTTACGAGTCGGTCTCTCGGAAAAGGCAACTAAGTTGTAAGTTAAATTCAATGTGCTCTGGTGCTGAAATTACAAGTAATTTCAGCACTTACAAATAAGTGGGTTGTTAGTTAGATGGAGCGTGGTTGGTTAGTCTTTAATATTTTATAGGGATAAAATATCTAATTTATAACCAATAATAATATATAGTTTGGATCAGGTTCCAAGATAGTGACTCCGAGGTAACGGATGTAAGCATCCTGCAGTAGTCATCAAACGTCGGCAACATATTTTTTACCCTTTGCTTTTTATGAAGGTCACAATTTCTGCGCTTATTAATAACTGAATGAAAAAGAGTAATTCAAAGACAATAATTGCTGCTTTTAAACATTTACTAAACTCATTATGGATGAAAAATTTCCACTTGCGAGTATTCTGTGCGCGGTGCGCCGTTCAAAACAAAAAGAAAGAAAAACAAGACTGCTCGTATCAGGGCGTTTTATAAAAAAGACAAAATTGTTCGTATCAGGGCAATACTATGAATGTTCCGACTGTCAATGGAGCTTTTGAAGTCAATGGAGCAGTTTGTTTTCTAAAATTTGATGAATTTTTTTAAAAAAAAAATTATTTTTTTATTTTTGAAAATCAACTTGCCACCCACCGTATTTAATCAAACTGATAGATTTCACTCCTTGTAACATTGCCATTATGACAACGAGTCTGCTTCAACTAATTTGGAAAATTTTCTAAGAAGGATTATATTTCAGCTTACGCATGAATAGAGCGAAACAGATCGCTCGTTTTTTTTTTCACGAATTAGCCAAATTAGCAATCTTCAAACCCCATAACTTTACAAAAAATATCACGAGTAAAATATCTTTTTAAATTTGAGCTCAAAAAAAATAATACATTTCAAATGAAATAAAAATCTGCCAAAAACTGCTAGTTAAAAAATGGAAATTTGTCTGGAGAAAAAAAAACCACCCGAGCAGAAGTATTCCGTCATTTTCTTCGAAAGCAGTGGAAGAGAAAGTAGTTGCAAGCCAAGCGTTATTGGGTCCATTTTTTGTATGATATCTATCGGGGTGTTCAATTTCATATTTTTGGGCTCTTTCGATCTTTTTTTTTTCATAGAAACCTATAGTTTAAAATTCCGAACCGTGGTAAAATTCCGACCCGTGTCTTATATAAAGCTTTTAATGTTCTCGTTTTATTTCGGTTCCCATTGTCGCTCAACGTATCAAGAATTAGCAGCTCTCATTGTAAGTGTTTTGTTATCTGACTTTCGAAGGAAGTGTGGATTATTTATGCTTGGGGTGGTTTTTTCAGACAATTTTCAACTTTTCGTAAGCCAAACTTCCGATTTTTGACAAATTTTCCTCTACCATCTGAAAGTTAATGTTTTCTGAGCTTAAAATTAGAAAAACATTTTACCTATGAACATTTTTTGTGAAGTTATGGGGGCTTGAAAATTGCCAGTTTGCATTAGCGTGTGAGGGGAGGGGGCTGAAAAAAAAACGAAAAAAAATTGTATACTAACTCGTCATTTTTTTAAACCAAAAACTATCAAATTGGCTGTAGAGTTCAGTCAAAACAATCAAGGCTTCGCCTTGATATATGAGCAGTCTTGTTATTACTTCAAAGTGAAGATTTACTAAACAGTTGCGAAGATGGTAACAATTGTTTACAGTAGTTTGAACTTCCAAACTTTCGCCAGTTTCTCTCATAGGAGGACTTACGAGGATAATTATGGGATTAAATTTCTCCGTCACTCCAATTCAAAGCCAATGAAAGCCAATTTGGATAAGCTAAGCCTCTTACCAGGTCCGATTTTGTCGTCATTAACAAGCGGAAGTTGTCAGAAATTGGGGAGCCTTTACATCCTTCGTAAAAGCTTTTGATAGTCATTCAATTATAAAACTCTCCTGACTAGAACCATTAGATTTTTTTTGCAGTTGCAATACATGCAATGAAAACTTTTAATTTCTACAAGAAAAAACTCATAATTGAAAAGCAAAAAAGTGATGTATTTTTGTTCTGATAAATTGATCAAACTTCAGCGACACTGAGCGACTTAATATTGAATCATAAACCGCATATCTATGATAATTCTTTCAGTTATACACACAACGGTTTCGCAACTTCAGTGAAATGATTACCCATAACTAGTATACCACTAGCATAGCATAACATGACTTTATCTAACAATACCTTGTTTGATCAAATTAACAACGGGGGAGGGGAGATAGAGATGGGGAGCGTTTACCCCCCTGGAGATTTAGAAGAAGGATACCCGTCGAGTGTGTTTAAAATGACCCCCACTGGGCTTCTGTTTTGTATGGTACTGTGTCTCATCATTTTCATCTCAATATCAGGTGAGTTTTTTTAACGTAACTTTTTCGATCAATTGATTCAAATTTAGACGACTATTTAGCACCAAGGGAATTGTGATTCAAATTAAGAAAAGTTGTTTAGAATCATCCTTTTTTGCCCTCTAAAAAGTTAACTTCCTTGTTGCTACTTTTTTAAGAAACCATGTATGCTCGAATTTTTATGTCATTTTTTGAAGAAAAGCACGATCCAATTTTGAGCATTTCTATATTTAAGTAATGAAGGCGAAAATCGAAATGACGTGGCTTGAATTGTGTTGTTTTAAATTACAAATCTGTTTCGTTCCAAATCAAATTCAGCGCTTTCAACAATTTTCTCAAAAGTCTTTAATCAATTAAGGGATTTTGGGATACTTGCAAGAAATGGGTGGAGCTCCTCGGAATGTTGTCTCGTTCGTCACCCAAATTGATTTGTCTAGATATATTACAGAAGAAAAGTTGTCTGAATAGATTAATCAATTTACCACTGGTGCATTGCAAATGACCAACTGAATAAAAGGGGATGGGGGTATTTTGCATGAACAATATAATAGTTATTTTTGGTAAAACTAATTGAAAAAATACAAAAACAGCATTTTAGGTACGCTTTTCTGAAAAATACGCCTATGCGGCGCTCAAATACTGTTGACAAAATAGCGTTTTTTGTTCATCTTTTATAATCAATTTGGTTGACCCATCAAGAAGCTTGAAGGCATTTTCTAAAAAAAAAACGTTTTTTTTTTTTTAAAAACCTCTCAAAAAGGCGTCTACGATTTTAATCGTTAGAGTATCACGTTTTGGTTGCTAATTTCAGGTAACAGCCTTGTACTGTTTGTGCTGAAGAAGAGGCCGCAGCTGCAGAACACGACTGGCTGGTTCGTGGCCAATCTGGCCATAGCAGACCTCGGTGGATCCCTGATCAACATGCCAGTCAGTGCAGTGTGTGCCCTCGCTGACTCTTTCCCCTTTCCAAACTTCCTCTGCCTCGTGAGTCAATTTTCACCCCGCTTCTTGCCCGGGTCCAGATCTCGCTCAAACCCGCTCAACATTTGAATGGTCTGAGCGGTTTTCCAGTAAGATTTGAACAATTTGAGCGGCTTTCCAGCAAAACTTGAACAGCTTGAGCGGTTTGAGAAGTTTTTTTGGAAAAACCTCTCAAACCGCTCAAAACCCGCTCATTTCATGCGGCGGTTTTCTGAACAATTTTTTCAGCAAGATTTGAGCAGTTTTTGAGAGGGTTGGTTTAAAAAACCGATAAAACGCGTCCAAAGACCTGGTAGAGGCGATGTGCAACGGGTTCTTTCAATTGAACTTTGAAAACTTGAAAATTTTCAATTTAAAAACTGACTTCTCTGAAGGCCACAACTTTGTCTAAAAAAATTGGGCGCAGAGAATTATAAAGGCATACTTACTACAACCTGTTGTTGGGATTAAACCTACATATCAGTCTCGGCAAGATAGTTGTCGAGAAAAAATCGAATAAATTGACAATTCTCAGAAACATTGTTTTTGAAGTTAGAAAAAAATTAGTTGAAGCCGCATATGCAGAATGGTTTGAAGAAATCTGTAATTTCACTTGGGCCCAGCATCTCAGATTTTCAAAGTTAATTCTCCAGAAAAGCGAAAAAACTTCACGAAAAGGTCAAAAAAAGCGTGACATTTCCAAAAGCCATAACTTTTTGTGCAAAAAAAATTGCGCGTAGACGCAAATGCACAAGAGTTTCCTAACACCCCTTTTTTTCAATTGCACCCAAAGTTTCAAATATAAGAGGGTATTTCACGATATTAATAGAAAAAAAAATAACTTTTACGAGAGCAAAAACTTTTTGTGTAAATAAATTATGAGCAACAGCTGGAGAACAAATAAATTATCAGCAACAGAACAAAAAAAATAAAAAATTTGGGTCAAATGTTCTTCGCTTAGATATTTTTGAAGTCCGTAAACAGAGGGGGAAAAAAGAGTTTGCAGACACAAAACGACGCTTTCCATTGATGTCTCTTTTTTCAAAATTTGCTAAAACTGTTTTCCAGAAATACCAAACTAAAAAAAAAGTTTCCAAAGCGTCGAAAAAAAACTAAAATCGAAAACTCCATCCCATACATTTTCATAAACCTGTCTTTTTTTAAATGAAAATTTTGAGCAGACATGCCAAGCAAGACATTTGAATTTTAAATTAGCAACGGAAAAAACATACAAGCGGGAACAAAGCTTTGACCAGCAGAGCCTAGAAAAAAAGATTTTTTTACATTTTTTTAAATAAGTTTCAAGTCACTCCTGAAAGTATACAATGAACATGATAGCAGGATATTTGCCCACAGAGCTAGAAAAATCCACGATGTAACAAGTAAGCCGACAAAACTTGAGCAAATAAACGAAAGTACGATGAATCAATTTTTAACCGGAAAAAAGTCTTCTTTAGCATACATGCCGAAAATATCAAGGTCTTATGATGCAAAAAGCGACGGCGTTACCTATCGGCAAAGTGCAATGGAGTTTGGACATTGTTAAGATTCAATAAGATTGCAATTTGAAAATTTGCGAGAAAAAGAATTCACTGGAGAAAAAGTCTAGTTCCCGATTACTAGACACTTGTTTTCGCAAAAAAGAAGTCGCAGTGTAAAAAAGAAACAAGTCGCAGCTTTTCCCTATAGTTTGCCTATTTTTTCTGTCAAAGATGGTGAGTCCAAAATTCGCAATTATCTGAAGCCAGATAGTTTTTTTCTAAATTTTATACCTGGCGTTCATAAATTACATGCATTGTCAATATGATGCGTGCAAGAGTGTTTGTAATCAATTGAAAGATGGGGAGGGAAAAAAGAAAGAAAATTTAAAATATTAGTTTTTATCTGAAAACAAAAAATTTTAATTGAAAGTTTACACGGGTAAACGGTTGCAGTTGAAGTAGCACAGAATGTTTCACAGAACTTTTTTCATCGATTAAATTCAGCGAAAATTTTTTAAAAATGAAGTATTTTTTGTAAAACCAATCTGCTTAAGTGAAAGAGTTAAAAATCGATTTTCATCAACCTATTCATGGCTTATGAAACAATTGTTTTCCTGAAAAATGCAGAAAACATCACTTGGGTTAATTTTTAATGTTTCAGGCAACTGGATTCACTAATTCGGTTTTCTGTGGAGCAAGTATTGTGCTTTTGGCACTCGTTTCAATAGACAGGTAATTATCATGTTGTCAAAATGATTTTTAAAGAACGATTTACTTTTCTCCGTTGACTAAACCTAAAAGTCACTCTGCAGCACAAATATAAATTTTGCTTTTTTTAGGCTGGCTCTGTACTGTTTTCTTTAGTAAACTGATCAAAATCACTAAAAACATTTAAATTCTGGCACCTCATTCAAACAGAGTAAAAGATGGAATATATCGGTTGTGTCTTCCGTTGTGTTCGGTCCCTTTTGGGACTTAAATTTTTGCACAATTCTGAAAAACCCAAAAATCAGCGCTAAAATATCGATGCTTATTGTTAAATTTGCAATTTTCGACTGATGTATTATCAATGTACTTCTTTGGTTTGTTACTGATTCAACTATTATTATCTTTGGGAGACTTAACCCGGGTTTCTACAAATTATTTAAAAATAATTCACCGTTGTTTTTATCCTGTTTAGATACGTGGCCATTTCGAAACCCTTTGAGTATCCGACTTTGATGACGACGAATAGAATAGCGATGATCACGATTGGCGGCTGGATCTACGCTTTCGCCATTGCACTTCCGCCCTTCTTTGGAATCGGCCAATACCACTACCTGCAGTTAGTCTTTGTCTCTTTCAACCTTTCTGCAAATATTATTAATTCTACTAACTATCGTTGACCTACAAAAATCCCTCTCCGGATCTCACCAAACATCAATCAATTTTAACTCGTAACTGAGTTTTCTTTACGTTTGCGTATGAAGACCACTGGATAATTTCCTCGATAGGGAAAAAAAGAAGATTTTCAGAAAAAATTCCAAAATAATTTTGTTGAACTGTTTTTAGGACAACTAAAATGATTTCCCGAGCTTTCCCCAAAATTTTTGCGCCACTGGCAAGTTTTGGGCACTTTTCGAAAAATTTTGACCGAAAAGTTTCTTTTTTTGGTGCGCGCTTCCCCTTAAAATAAGTATATATTGGCGCCTTTAGAAAACTGGATGCCTTAAAAAAAGAACCAATGAAAAGACCCTTTGGGTAGTCAGGGGGTCGAATCCCTGAGGAAAGGGCCTCCGCCCCCTTCCCCCATAAACCCGCTACTGATGAAGGACAAAAACTTTAGCAGTTGGTTAACTTAACCAGGGGCGGATTTAGGGGGGGGGGTTTGATTTGATAATTATGAGCGCTATTTTTTTTTCTGTTCTTTTCCGTCCTTTTCTGCGTGTTGTTTAGGGGGGGGGATTTGATTTGATAATTATGAGCGCTATTTTTTTTTCTGTTCTTTTCCGTCCTTTTCTGCGTGTTGTTTAGGGGGGGGGGGATTTGATTTGATAATTATGAGCGCTATTTTTTGTTTTTTTTTCTGTTCTTTTCTGTCCTTTTCTGCGTGTTGTTTAGGGGGGGGGGGGGATTTGATTTGATAATTATGAGCGCTATTTTTTGTTTTTTTTTCTGTTCTTTTCCGTCCTTTTCTGCGTGTTGTTCTATGATTACCACGAAAAAAAATTTACGGTTAAATTACTTAACCGTAAAATTTTTTTCGTGGTAATCATAAAACAACACGCAGAAAAGGACGAAAAGAACAGAAAAAAAAACAAAAAAATAGCGCTCATAATTATCAAATCAAATTCTCAGTTCTGAGTAGGCATCATTACCAAGGGGAAATATTGCAGATAGTACTAGCAAAACAAGAGGCGAGTACTGTTGATGTGTTGCTTGTGTCTAGTTCGAATGCGGCATGTACCCTCAACTGGCAGTCTGACATCCTCTCATCCCTTTTTGCCACTGGGGCTATCTTCGGGGTACCCCTGGCTGTCTTACTCTTCTCCTACTCACACATATTCAGAGAGGCCAACAAACACATCAAGGCTGTTAGTTTATATTTTCACGCTTTCATTCGAGCTCCTAAAATCTCCTTGTTTTCTTAATTGGAGAAAAAAAGAAATTGGTCTTTGTATCATTTTGTTCACCTTTGGCGCCTATATAGTTGATTTTGTGGGGAAGAGCGCACACAAAAAAAGCAATTTTTTGGTCAAATGTATTTTTTAAAAGACACATAACTTCATTTTTAGCCTATTTTTTCAAAAATTTGCCTGCGGCCAGGGGCGGATCTAAGATTTTCTCAAGGTGGGGGTATTTTTTCAAAAAAAAATCTAAAACTTTGTCGACCGCAGTAAAACTTTTGACAAAAGGGCCAAAAAAGGCGTTTTTAGGCACTTTTTGGAAAACTTTTACCAAAAAAATGCGTTTTTCGGCGCGCGAACCCCTCCTAAATCAGCTGTTGCCTGCAGCGCAGAACATTTCCTGGCAAAATAGGGTCTTAATAGTGGTTTCGGAGTGCTCGGAAAATCAAATTGGTTGACGTAAAAAAAAATAGATGCCTTAATGGTAGCGTAAAAAAAAATTTCTGCACATGCCACTGGTGTAAAATATAGAAGTGTATATACTTAGAAGTAGTTTATTCATCCGACCATTTTTGTTTTTTTAATAAAAAAAAATTGACGGATTTTTTCAAGATCATCTGAAAATTTTAAAAAGTCTGATTCACCTATGAATATATTTTTTCGGTGTCAGGACAAAAGATACCATACCAAAAGCTCCCATGACAAAAGATACCATACCAAAAGATCCCTTGTATAAAAATCGCCCATACCATAAAATCCCATGCCAATTAAAAAGATCCCATGAATTATGAACAAAAATCATGATCAAAGTGTAAGCAGAAATAAATCTAGAGTAATGATACCTCAATTAGGTTCGCGCTATTGAAAAACAATGCAAATTTAAGATAATTAAATTTAAACTGGACTCATTTTTGGGATTAACATAGTGCCAACATGTGTTTAATTTAGTGTTAATATGGCATTGAATTAGAACAACTTAATTGAAAATGTATACACTCTGCATTCATTATCTCCCTCTTTAACTCATTGATAAGTCAAAAATGAATTCTTTTACTTGGGGAACCTCACAAAAAGGCCAAACTTTGATTATTCTTGATGGCCATGAATTTCAAAAGAAACGCGATACGAAGACAACGACACACTGGCGCTGCAGCAAATGGAGATCGTACAAATGCCCGAAAACTTTAATCACTTCTGGGAGCGATATAATCTCACAGAGCAACGAGCATAGTCATGAGCTCAACGCAGGACGCTCAGAAGCTCGGCAACTAGTTCAACAAATGAAGGAGACAGTTAGGAATCAATTAAATCCAGTAAACAGTCAGATAATCGCAGCTAGTTTGCAATTGGTGCAGGACGAAAAAGCAACCCAACTGTCTTTGCCCTCCCGGTCGGCGCTAACGCGAACTTTAAACAGAAGTAAACAAACGACATCCCTGCCCACTATTGCCACAGATGACCGTCATTTCGAAATACCCGATCGTTTTACTCCTTGCACCCTCCCGAAGAACGCCGAAACGCAATACTACGACTCGCATTCAAAAATGCTGTCTCTAGCAATTTGATCCCAGAGCAATTGCTCTTATTGACGGGAGGCTAGGTTGGGGGTAGGGGCCTGACGGCCCTTTGAGTATTGCGCCTAGCGAAAAAAAATTGATCAAAATTGAGAATTGATATTTTTTATCAAATAGAACGGCAAGTGATTCGTAATGAAAATGATTTGAAAGCTTTAGAATTTTGCAAAAACTCAATTTCAATTTTGTACCGACTTGAATTGTCTGGAAAATCAGGCCATTTTTAGCAAAGTTGGTTTTGATTAATTGGAAATCCTTTTCAAGTTCAATTATAGTCTAAGCTGTTTTGAAATTTGAGTTTCATTTTAAAGGCCAAGTGATTAGCAAGGTCATTCATGTTCGAAATTTGTGCAGCAAAATTTTTGCCGTTTCTTTGATTTAAACCGACGCTTTCTTTTTGCTTTGATCGATTAACCGCTTTATTTTCAATTATCAGGTTCTTTGTTATTTTATTATGGTATCTTATGTCGTGGGCGATTTTAGAACGAGGTATCTTTTGGAATGGTATCTTATTGACTGGGATCTTCTCGTTTGGGATCTTAAGGTAAGGGATCTTTTGTCATGTAACCATTTTTTCCTAAGAATATCGTTGTTATAAAGAAACCATTTTGATAATTTTGGGATAAGTCAAAAGAAAGATATCTCAATTTGTCTATTGTTCCTTTTTTCTTGTTCATAAAACAATTTACATATATTTTGAAAAAATTGAAAAACTTCATTATTTGGAAAGCTTGAAATATTTAAAAAATGTATTTCCTCACTTTTTTTTCAACATTATTGGGTCAATTTTTATCTCATTTTCTTATGTTGAATTTCAACAGTTGAATTTGAAATTCAACGTACCTCGAGCCCGTTATCGAAAAAATTGATTTAGCTCATTAAGTTAATCATGATCACCAACGTATTAGAAAAAAAACTACAGATTCAAACTGCAAGCCCATTAAAGATAGTTCTTTTGTCGAAAAAATGTGTTGGAGTTAAAATTTAAAACAGATTGTTGAAAATGAAACGTTTTTGCTTGATTATGATGTGAGGATTAAAATTAAATTTGTTGAAGTTAGAGTAGTGTTTCAAAAAGTGACCTACGAATTTTCCCAATTTTTTTTTTAGACAGTTATCTCAAACGAAATTAAATCGGTTAAGATTTAATTGATAAAATATGACTTTCACGGTTATCTAATTGGGCTCAAAAAGTGTTCCAAATCGAATATAATAGATAGATAGCTACTTGTCTTAATCAATACATTTTTGTTAGCTAATTATATCTCTTTGTACTTTAAGTAGATGGGAGGATGATTTCAAGAAAAAAAATCTGATAATTTTTCCAAATTTTTTGAAAAACTTCATCAACTTTTTTTCAAAATCGAACACTATAGAAGTTTCAGAGCAGTCGAAACATTTAAAGTGTCGCCATGATTCGAGCAGTCTTCGTATAAAACTCAGAATCAATGAAAAACCTCACAAGTCTTTGACTGCGACTTCCTTTGGCCCTCGATCGGTACTCTGACTTTTCATAATCCTATCACAGTGTATGCCCAAAAAAATTTGTTTCATTTGTTTTTGAAAAATAATTAAAAACGCCACGTGAGAACACGACGATAGGTATATTGTTCAAACGGAGTTGGATTTGGAATGAAAAACTTTGAAAAAGTTTTCCTGGAATCTCAAATGAGCTGCCTGCATATTTTTCATATAAATTAGCCACTCTTTGCGTACTTGAGCTGCGTGTGAAAAGTAGAGATACCCACTAGGAAAACCGAAGTAAAAATTTATACCTCTCTCTCCTTGTTCTACAAACGAAAGCTAAATCGAACAAATGACATATTGATGGTCGGAAAATTAAATGCAACTTAGACACATGTCTTCTCGTCTTCAGTTCTGGTCTTATTTTAGCTTAAACATTTTCCGAAAAATTCTGGATACTTTGATGATAGTTTTGCTGGGTTGGTAATGAAAGCACACAATATTATCCTTTTTTTCCAGATCAAAGAGCTGCACGCCTGTCTTCCAGTCTCAGCGGGTGGCGCCATCACTGCAGACGGCAGGAGTGCAGGGTGCAATCAGCATCAGAAGAAGTTCACAGACAGTAAGCCAGTGAAGACTCTTCTGGTGGTGTTGGGAGTGTTCATTTTATGCTGGGTGCCCTTCTTCTCCCTCAATATGGTAGCCGTCATCGGACACTTTGACATTCCAGGTACATTTTTATGACAATTGGCGCGAATGTGATCTTATCGTGAATATAATCCTTCCTAGAGCGTTCAAGTAGGAGAACGAAAAAAAAACTTTTTTGAAAAAACTACAATTTTTTTTTAAATAATTTTTTTTTTGTTGCAGTTAAGAACCCGCTCTTTTAGCGCTATTTTCCAATTAATCCGATTTTTTCACACTTATGAACAAAAAAATTGATCAGTGATATTGAATCGAACTTCATGATTCTTAAATGTTATATTCTTCAGATCCTGTGGTGACGACTTCAGTATGGATAGCGTACAGCAACTCTGCCTGCAACCCTTTCATCTACGGACTCATGAACAGAAAGTACCGAGAGGCGTTCTTCCAAATAATCAGTTAGCATCAATGCTGGGAACAGCCATTATAATTTGCTGGAGCCTTATATCAGCGCTCTTTTTTCTTAGATCGAAGAAAACTTTTACAACGTCTCACGTATAATCAAGATAAAAATTAACGAAAATTCAGATAGAAATTTTAAGAATTAAAAAAAAATGAAATGTTTAAATTGTTTTTAAGGTAGACCCTTTTGTCAATTATTTTACATTTTTCTCTAAAAACTTATATTTCTCATTAAGAGTCTGAGTTGAGAAACGTATCCACACTCAAATTACAGAGAAAATAATTGATCAACCTACAATCATAGTAGTACATCTTTATAGGCGTAGACAATCTATAGGCTTTTGTTCCGACTTTCAAAACAAGTGATACAAGCTTGAGGTCGTTTTTTTACTCAGACCAACTTCCTACAAAACATTTGCTCAAACGGGGATTGATCTTTGTGGGTCCATCGGATGCGCACACCACTCTGTTAGTCTGACACGACGTTGCCTATACTGCTCGTTTTCTTATACTGAAATTGTAATGCGAAATAATTTCGCGTGGTGAGTTCTCCTGCGCTCTAAAATTGCTCAAATTTGTATCGAGGCAAGCTAAATGATCATCTTAATTCCATACATTATTCAAATTTTAACACTGGAATTTTAAAACGATCATTTTATAATTAGGAGTAAGGAACGTAGTGAGTACTCTTATATAGATCTTGGTGTTTTTTTTTTCAGGAAAAAGTCTAAAAATTAGTTCACGCACAATTTTGATTTTGCGATTTTTTTGATTTGTGATTTTTTAGGTTCAGTGAATTTCCATTGTTAAAAGGAAGCCAAACTTTACTATCGAGCAACAAATTTGTAAAAGTCACGAGAAACGTGATCAACTTCTAAAACTGAAAATTGAAATTAATTATCAGATTTCCCATCGAACTAAAGTTTTGCCTATAAATCCAATTTTCTCAAATTGGGTCAATTTTAAAAAAACGTGTCTAGGATAAATTGTTCTAGGAAGAACTTTAAAGCTATCTTTTTTTCTTCTAAGCTAGAAATCTGAAGATTTTTGAAGAAAAAATTCTTTTTTTTTCAGCTTGATTCATAGATTGTCATCAATATTTTTCTTTTCCAGAAAACTATTCTAGAGCAGATAAAGGGCAGTTAGAACTGTTATGGTTTTGCCCTGATAAGAGCAATATTTTTATTCATCAAAGCTGAAAGTACTCAGAAAAAAACAAGTTAAACTAGATTGTATTTTTGTTTTTCCAAAAGTTTGTTAAATCGAACGTAATTTACTTGAGTATATTAAATTACAATTAATTTTTCAAGAATTTTACTATTTTTTGGGAAAACTGCAGCAAAAGTGATTCTGACAGGACGAAACCACTAAATTTTTAAAGGCTCTATAACGTGTCTAAAAGTAAGTTTTAAAATAGAGAAAAAGTGTACCTGATATGGACGCGTTGTTTAATAAACAATGAGCAGATTACCAAAACATTCCAACACGGAAAATTAGTGTTCTGATAATTGTATTAAAAATATCATAAAAAAATTTAGAATAGGTTATTTATCTGTTTAGATGGTAGGAGTTCTCTCCATCCGAAATGACTACTCAAAAAATGAAGTCCTTCTGAAAAAAAGAAGCAACCTCAAGCACGATTATTCTGTCCTTCTGGTCAAAAATCAAAAAATCATAATGCAAATGCGTTTCTCTGTATATTTTACAAGATGGGCTATCTTTGTTAAAGTAATAACAAAGATTCAGAAGCAATGAGCATTTTTAGTTAAAAATAAAAAAATTTAAATTTGTGAAAATCATTTGACGCAAGTTTTATATTGCGCAGAATTGTGGACAGGAAATTCAGTTGAGAACAACCAAATTTTGATCTTCTGCTTTATGAAATTATTTTTGCGAACTATTATGGCTTACAGCTTATGCTCTCTTTTGTTATTGAATTTGTTTTTCCTATTTTGACAGATTAGATATCTATCGAGTTGTCGATCAAAACTTGAAGCTAGCCGCTTTTCACAAAAAGTAAGGATTTCTAGGGACCAATTAAAGCAACCTCCTATTGGCTATGTGCTAGTGTGTATTGCTAAGATTGCTTCCTTCTTCTGCAAAACCTATAGGTTGTCTACGCTCCTAAAGATGTTTTTCCACAAAAGTCTCATATTTTTAAAGATCTGTTTTAAAAACAGGTATATTTAAAAAAGAGTATCTTGGAAAATCTTGCAAGAAACTTGCAAAACTTTTTGAAGAGCAGCATCGATTTTTTTAAAATGTTATAAAGTTTATACAAAGTAACCTCCTTCAATCGACTAGGGAATGATTCGAAACATACAAAGTCAAAAAAAAAATTAATTAGAGCAAAAATATATATTTTTTCTAAAACCGAATTTGGTTAAAACTTTCATACCTGTTAAAAGTTGACATCAGCCGAATCGAAAAAACTGCAAATCACAATCAATTATTATCGGTTCACTTTTCGTATAACCAATTATAAGTGTTTATACAAAAATTGTTTTAAATGATTTTTATCGATAATAATAATGAAAAGTGATTCTTATTTTATTTGAAAAAAAAAAGCTATATTTGAACGGACTAAGATTAAATAGCAGAATGAAATTTTGATTATAAGTTTAATTCTCCATTGAGTTTTTTTCTGTGTGTTTGTATGCTTCGAATTGCTCTCTAATCAATCAAGTGATGTTGTCTTGCAAAAGTTTTGTGAAATTCTTTGAAATAGACGATGTAGTTTTTTTTTAAATGCGAGGCTCAGGCAAAACATTGCATGATGATTTCCGTTAAGGATGTTGTTTTACGCAAGATTTTTGAAAAGTTGATTTTTTTAGGTCGAAAGTTGCGTTACTCAGGAAGACAACCGTTAAGCTCTCGCGGCAAACAATAACATTAATTTTGAACGGCAAACAAGTCTTAAAATTGTAAGCTAGTCGTATT